AAAAAAAAAAACATTACGATCATGGATTAACAAAAAAATCGAATACAAGTATTAAAACAAAAAAATCTAATCATAGGATTAAACAACAAAAAAAAAAAAAAAAAAAAAAAAAAAAAAAAAAAAAAAATTACCTTATGGGACTCGCCGATTACGTACAGTGAATCGGCGAGTCACTGTACAGAATCGTCCGGTTCTCTCTAGAACCGGACGATTCCCGTTTTTTCCGTCGATTCGATCCGTCCATGGTGATTCTCGAGTCGAACCGGGCGAGTCGGCGTTTTTTTAAACACTGGTTTTAGGTCATTCTAAAGGTGGACTTGAATCCGCTATAAATTATCCTTGAAATATAGAACATTTTTAATTTATGAATATTATTTTGAATCCATACGTATAACCCCTAATTTTGATTACTCATTTCAATTTATTCTTGACGACTCCCACCTCCTCCGAATGGCACCTAAACCTCCTCCGAATCAAAGAATGGCATCTAAGCTGAGAGAAGTAATAAGAATCCAAAGGGTATACTTTTCACCAACGTTGATGCTTCGAGAAGTAATAAGAATCCAAAGGTATACTTTTGACCTACGTTGATGCTTCCAATTTTGACTCAACAATAGAATAAAATCCATCCTAGTCTAGTTAGTAAAAAAACAATGTAAAATAATTATGAACCACCAAATAAATAATTGGAGAAGTATATGAAAATGCTGTTTATTTTTTTGTACGAAGAGATCACAAACGCTCTTTGTCTAGGACAATTTAAATTGGATGGTTGTAAAAATGCTATTGATTAGGCTTAAAATTCAAAAATAATTCTTAAACCTTTTACACATCCCAAAGCATTTAATTTGAGATCTAATGATTAGACGTGATTGTGACCCATATAACAAAAGATAAATTTTTATAGTATACAATCAGAGATAGTTTGCATCTACTGAGCTACACATATTTCACATAAGATGATTATTGATAATTGTGATATCTTTATACCAAAAATAAATAATCATATTTTTTAAATAATTAAAATAAAACTTACTTTCAAATAGTATCGAAAAATATGGTTTCAATACTGAAAATCTAATATTTGTGATAGCCTTAAAATATAATTTCATCTTTAGTTATAAATTTTAAAGCTTCACAAATAGTATAGATCAAGCAAATCTATGAAAGCCTGAAAATTTTGAAAATTCACAGTAAAAAAATGTATTACAAAGTGCATTATTTTCAAAACTTAAAATCCAATTTGTTTTCTCATGTCCATGCATGTCTATATGAGGATATTTGAGGATCAAAACAACAAGTTCGAGTGAAAATTTTGAGGTGGCTCTAATTTGATTGTGTAGATCCTCGGCTCGGTATAAACATTTTGCTTTAATCAACGTATGTATGGTATGAATCTTTCTCTCACAAGGTGTCCTGGGGGGGGGGGGTTCGAGAGAGAGAGTGAGTGCCTGACCTTTCTCTCCCTGCCAATGTTCAAGACAATGAGCTCCACCAGACCCTTGGTGTTCATAAGAAACCCCAACGTGAGTGCTTCCTGCGCCGGTACCCTGTGTATGACCGCCGCTACAAACGTCCCGGCCACCTTCCCGGCACACCCTGTAACAATCACCAGCCCTAACATCCCCCATGACCGCGCCCCGCTTATGCTCCCGACATTCGTCTTAAGGCCGCTTGACGCGAAGTAGAGCGGCAACAAGAGCCCCGCCACGAAGTCTTCCACCCTCTCCACCAGCATCCTTGCCAAAGCCCCCTCCCTAGGGATACAAATCCCAAACACAAATGCCCCGAATATGGCATGGATCCCGAGGAGGTCGGTTGCGAGCCCCGCGGTCATCACACCCACTAGCACGGCACAGACATGGAGCTCACTGACTGGGGCACCTTCGGGGGTTTGGCTCGAGGCACGGGACATGAGTGGGCGCACGATCAGAAGCATCGCAGCTACAAATGCTGCCCCACCAAGGAGCACCCACAGTGAGGACAGTAGGTTAGAGGAGTGGTGGGAGAGGTCTGTGTTATTACGGCTAGAGAGGGCGGTGGCGAGGGCAAGGAGGACCCAGGCAGCAAGGTCATTGAGGGCGGCAGCGGCCATTGCGGTCTCACCCAGGTTGGTGGTGAGGAGCTTCAGCTCTGCCAGGATTCGAGCAAGGACAGGAAATGCAGTGACAGATAGAGACACACCCATGAATACCAAGAACGCAGTATAACCAGCAGAAGTGTGTGGATTAAGAACTGTGCGGAACGGAAGGGCGATGAGGGCGCCACAGGCGAAGGGGAGAGAAATACCGGCAGCAGCAATAGTAAAGACTCGGCAGCCACCTTTGTGGACGGAGGACAGATCAAGCTCGAGACCCACAAGGAAGAGGAAGAATATGAGGCCGATGCCTGCGACAGTCTCCAAGGTGGGGGTGCTCCAGATGGGGAAGACACGGTTGAGGTACACCTTGTTTCGACCGAGTGCCGAGGGGCCGAGGAGGATGCCGCCCTGAGACAGAGAGAGGGGTTGTTACCTTCCATTCGGCATGTACATCGAGAGAGAGAGAGAGAGAGAGAGAGAGAGAGAGAGAGAGAGAGAGACGTACCGTACGTTCGTACACGCGTGCGGTCGGTCGGTCGGACGGACGGTCGTCGTAGTAGTAGGGAACGGGAGGGACGGGAGGGACGGGACGGGAACGG